TCCTGAGAAAGGCAGCCCCAGCCTGTGCAGTGCACGATTGGTACTGGTTCTAAGAAAGCTCAGAACAGCTATCAGGTCTTCATTCCCAATGTATGAACTATGGGTGTTCCCAGCCTTCTCAGTGGGGGACCTCCTGGTTGGCAGCGGCTGGCCCAGGGTGGGAGGTGGTACCCTGCAGGGCTCCTCTCAGGAGGGGTCCACAAGTGGCCATCACCATGTTTATCTTTTGGGGTTTTTTTGTTTGTTGTTTACCTTTTCATGACCAAATGATTTCCTGCTTTGGCTTATTTTGTTGAAACCGTAATGGGAGGCATGCTGAAATCAAGGGGGTAATTTTGTTTTCTGACGTAATAAATCAGTGGTTCTCAACCTTCCTAATGCCACGGCCCTTTCATACAGTTCATGTTGTGATGACCCCCCCCAACCATAAAATTATTTTCGTTGTTACTTCCTGTCATTTTGCTACTGTTATGAATCTGGCAACCCCTGTGAAAGGGCCGTTCGACCCCCAAAGGGGTCCCAACCCCCAGGTTGAGAACTGCTGACACACTCTCGTCATCCTAAGGGGTTCTGGTGGCGGGAGTGGTTCCTGTCTTCTGAATCCTGCTGCCCAGCCAACCACAACTGGGAGAGCAGAGCCCAAAGCAGGAACGAGTTAGTGAATGAGGTGGGGGCATGGGATGGGGCTTCAAAACAGGAGGGGGGAAAATCCATTCTCTTCATAACTCCATTTTCCACAACTCTTTAAAAGCCCCCAGTATGTCCCACAAGGAGCCCTGGCTGGGCTTTGATCTACAAGGTCAGCAGTTAGATACCACCAGCAGCTCCGAGCTTTCTGCACCTGTGAAGAGTTTAGCTTTGGAAACTCACAGGGATAAGTGTACCTTGTCCTACAGGTCGTTACAAGTCAGCGTGGGTTCCGCGGCAGTGAGTCTGGCTTGATTTTGAATGTGTCCACGGCCATGACCTAAGGCAATCCTGGGCCCCATTAAGATGTAGTCACTTAATATGGCCCTTCTAGCCTTTTGCCATAAGCCCTTTTGTGACGTACAGTATGCCTGTGTAGGTTATCATCTTGTTCTGGAGGGAGTTAAGAGGATTATGGTGGGTGTAATCCCTAGTCTATCCTACATAGACTGGTCCACTAAGAGACAAAAACCACCCCATACCCCCACCAAAGCCTTCCCTTTTGTGACCTCCTTACCTGACTGAGCATTGGGAGAAGCAAGACTTGCTTTGATTTTCGTACTTACTTGGCTTCTGGCTCTGGACCCTGCATTTGACCTCTGTCTGCCCTTCAGACTTAACAGCATCATGACCTCATGAGATATCTCACGGGAAATGTTGCAGTGAACTGCAGAACCCAGGGGGGTGAGGAGTGGAAGCAGTGTGAAATCTTGGGAGAGTTGGACATCTTTGATCTCCACCTATTTGCAACCAGACTGGTATTAGTTGTTCTGGGGGAAAAAAATCATTGCCATCCCTACCCTTAGTTTCCAATTCAGGGGAGGGTATCGGGAGGGCCCCCAAAATGTGCATTGTAAGCTGGTGCTGCTGGCCTGGCCCAATGGGGATGCTCCTCCTGGATCAGCCAGAGCAGTTGGATTCCACGGACTGGGAGGAGACTGCTGACCTCTGGAGGCAGCAGGCTCCCCAAAGATCTGTGTCCCCTAGTTCCCAGAGGTAGAAGAGACTGACCACCAGGAGAACAGGAAGCACTGAGCCCTCCAGTCAGCAGTCTGGGGGGGTCTTAGATCAGTTTACCGACTTAACCAGCTCCAGTAATTTTTAGTTGTTGTTCTGTGCTAACCTCATTTCTGACATCCCATCTCACTGCCTTGCAAATCCCTGGAGCTTTGCCAGGGTGGGATTGGAACAGAAATATTACTCTAGAGCAGTGGTTCTCAACCTTCTTCATGCAGGGACCCTTTAGTACACAGTTCCTCGTGTTGTGGTGACACCCCAACCATAAAATTATTTTCGTTGCTACTTCATAACTGTAATTTTGATACTGTTATGAATCTGAAAGGGTCGCTCAACCCCCAAAGGGGCCATGGCCCACAGGCTGAGAACTGCTACTCTAAAGCCTACATTTTCAACCTTTGTGAGAGTGTCTTAAAAACACCATTGTTAGGGGGAAAATGAGCTGATACCAAGGGCTCAAGTAGAAAGAAAATGTTTTGAAAATGATGGCAACAAATGTACAAATGTGCTTGACACAACAGATGTATGGATTGTGTTAAGAGCTCTATGAGCCCCTCAAAAAATGATGAAAAATATTTTTATGTCGACAGCTGCCCCTCCCCACAGAATTTATTTCAGGGGACAGCACTGAAGCTACAGCTCAGGGAGAGGGACACATCTGATCAGAGCACACATGAGCAAATGAAGGGAGAGGAAGAGAGAGTGGAGCACATCCTGGCCCACCAAGCCTTGAGGACGATATCCCTGTTCAGTACAGCCAATCCACAGAGCAGACCATATGGTCGCCTCCACTGAGACACGACATCCTCACTGACCCATAACCCCATGGGGGGACAGCACTGGAGACACAGGGTGGAAACCGCGTCCGATCTGACCCCACCACACCAAGGTAAAACACTAGGGCACGTAACAGAACAGCAAGGGGAGCAGAGCAAGTTTGTCCCGAGGAATACCAAAAATAAACTTTGGGACCAGGGCGTGGCACCCCATCAGACTCCACTAGAAAACACTCCTAAAGGCCAACAAACAGCCCGTGAAGTATCTACAGGCTTTTGTTTTTGTTTTTTCTTTTGTTGTTTTGTTTTGCTCTGTCTTGTTTTTGTGCATGTTATTATTTCCGAAGGTCTAGCTAGATAAGATAGGTGGGATAAACAATCTGGAAAACAACGGGACTGACGGTTCTGGGGGGACATGGGAGGGGGAAGTGTGGGGAAAGGAAGTGATGTTAACAAACCCAGGGACAAGGAAACAAGTGATCCAAAATTGGTGGGGAGGAGGGTGTAGGAGGCCTGGTAGAGCATGATCAAGGGTAATGTAACCTAGAAGAACTACTGAAACCCAAATGAAGGCTGAGCATGATAGTGGGACAAGAGGAAAGTGAAATAGAGGAAAGAACTAGGAGGCAAAGGGCAGTTACAGAGGTCTAAATAAAGGCATGTACATATATAAATATATTTATATATGAGGGTGGGGAAATAGATCTATGTGCATATATTTATGGATTTAGTATTAAGGTAGCAGATGCACATTGGGACTCCAAGTACTCCCTCAATGCAAGAATACTTTGTTCTATTAGCCTGGCATTCCATGATGTTCACCTTCATAACGTGATCACTGAAGACAAAGCGGGTGCATAAGCAAATGATAATGGATAAAAGATAATGGAGCCTGGCTATCAAAATAAAGCACCTAGGGTCTTAAAGACTTGAAGGTAAACAAGTGGCCATCTAGCTCAGAAGCAACAAAGCCCACATGGAAGCAGCACACCAGCCTGTGTGATTATGAGGTGTCAAAGAGATCAGGGATCAGACATCAAAGAACAAAATATCAAATTATTGTGAATGAGGGGGAGTGCAGATTGGGGACCCAAGACCCATCTGTACCCAACTGGACATCCCCTTACAGAAGGGTCGCGGGGAGGAGACGAGCCAGTCAGGTTAGTGTAGCACCCATGAAACATACAACTTTCCTCTAGTTCCTAAATGCCCCCCCCACCCACCATGATCCCAATTCTACCTTACAAATCCAGCTAGACCAGAGGATGCACACTGGTACAGAGAGGAACTGGAAACACAGGGAATCCAGAACAGATGATCCCTTCAGGACCAGTGTGGGAGTGGCGATACCGGGAGGTGGGGTGGAAAGGGGGAACTGATTACAAGGATCTACATATAACTTCCTCCCTGGGGGATGGACAACAGAAAACTGGGTGAAGGGAGATGTCGGACAGTGGGAGATATGACAAAATAATAATTTATAAATTATCAAGGGTTCATGAGGGAGGGGAGAAGGGAGAGCGGGGAGGGAGAGGAAAAATGAGCTGATACCAAGGGCTCAAGTAGAAAGAAAATGTTTTGAGAATATTTGTACAACAACAGATGTACAAATGTGCTTGACACAATGGATGTATATATGGATTGTGATGAGTTCTATGAGCCCCCAATGAAATGATTAATAAAAAAAGAATATTTTTTAAAAATTTATAATTTATCAAGGGGTTACAAAGGTAGGAGGCTGGGGGATGGAGGGAAAACGAGGAGCCAATACCAAGTAGGAAGATAATGTTTTGAAAATGATGGCAACATATGTTCAAATGTGCTTAATACAATGGATGTATGGATTGTTATGAGCTGTAAGAGCCCCAATAAAATCATTTTTTTTAATGTTAAAAAAACAACAACAAAGAAACCCACACCACGGTCTAAGATCTGCAGTTCACTTTGAGGAGAAGGAGCCCCGTGCCCTTAGCAAGTCAGGGTGACATTCGTCTTCCTGATTTCCAGACAGAGTTTTCCCAGAAAGAGAAACCATTCAGCAGAGAGTTGAGGTGAGCTATGGACTTCACCTTCTGAAAGCAAGGGGCCTGACCAGAAGCTTGCTCCCAGCTCTGAGGTCCCAGAGGAGACAGCCAGGTTTATGGAGAGTTAGTTCCTAAATTCAGAAACTCCTGGTCTGCTAGTCATGTCAGCTGGTAGGAAAGGACACACTTCTTTAAAACAGCAGAAGGGGTGGGTGCGGCGGCAGGGGGAGCATGGGCTCCGAGCTCGTACGGGGGACTCTGCCCTCAGACCCAGGCAGTATGGCCCTCGCTGGGAGACAGTGTCTTCACCCCAGGACTGGGTTGCCAGCTGGCGCTGTTCACGACGCTATTCCCACTAAGTCTAGAACTTAGCACACCCAAATCGACTCGTTCCCCTGGGCTGCCAGACACCGCAGGCCTTGTGGACAATATAGGCGCAGGGCACTGCGGCGCTGCTTGGAGCTGAAGAACTAGAGGAAAATCAAGAGGCGGGTAGTTCACGTCTTAAAACTCATTTTAATATCCTTTCCCCACCCTGCCCCCATGTTGGGAAAGGCCAAAACAGTCTGGCTGAATTTAATTACAAATTAATACACTTTTGTTGTTGCCATTGTTTAAAGGAAATGAACATTGTGGCAATGAGGGACTATCCTTGGGAAAATTGAAACCCACATTAACAAAATAAGTCATGGAAGAACTCCAGTCAGTGATTTCACTGGCGAAAAACCAGACTACAAGAAGGTCAGCGCCCCGCGTGTCCGCCAGGCCTCGACTCGGTGTGGGGCGAGGCCCTGCCCAGCCCCAGCCAAGCTGGGCAGCCCAGCCAGGCCCAGGGCCCGGCTCCCAGAGGGGGATCAACAGAAGCCCTGCAGCTGAAAGGATGTGCCCAGCGGGGAGCGGAGGACAGGAAGGTAGATGGAAAGCTTAAAGATGCATTTTGTCAGCCTTAAAAAAAATTTTTCTTTTTTTACTGAAAGGAAAAATATCGACAAGTTCATTCAAGGGGGAATAGAACTTACTTGTGTGTTTAAAAACGGCTCTCTTCACATTTGCACACACCGTCCTTTCAGCACTATGCTCAACCTGGGAGACCCCTCCTGTGTTTTCTGTGCCTGATAGTTGGGAGGCAACAGCCCCGCCCATTTCTCCCCACTCCCACCCCCGCTTTTAAAAAAAGATGTGTGCTTGTGTGTGTACACATAAAAACACGCACACCAACACACAACTGCGAGAAAACAGAGGAGACCTGGGGACACAGAGTTCTGGGCCCGACTTCCTTCCATTCAGAGATCCTCTTTGGAAAACTCAGGGATGGCCTCAGACTGCGAAGGGCAGACTCATAAACTAAAAGGCCTAGAAATCCTAGCTCTCGCAAGCGCTCTCACCATCTCCTGACTGGTCTCCCGCCTCCCTACCGCCCTGGATGCTGCATCTTTAAATATTTCTGGCTCAGCCCTCTTGCCACATATGTCAGTAACATTCCAAGCTGGCTACCACATGTGCAGCTCTGGCCTCCTTCCGTCCCTGCTGCCGAGCGCTGCTCCGAGGGCATGGTGGGGCCACCGTCTCCCGTTTCAGCTTCATCTTCAAATGATCATACATCTCAAAACAAGCAATTTTTGTTGTTTTTTTTTAAAAAAAAGAATGTTCTTATTTGAGATACTTATTTCCCTTGAGGTTATTTCGTTAATTCCACTTGATGAAGCTATGCCAGTGAGTCAGTGTGTGTGCACGTGCACACGGAGACACACACACACTGGGCACACATTCACAGGTCTAGAGAACTGGGGGGGAGGTGGGTTCCTGCCAAAAGATCTAACAGAGGAAAGCTTATGTGCTGATCACGCTTGAGCACGTGGTTCACAAGAACTACCCCAGTGGACAAGCACAACAGCCGGGGTAGGAGGGGCTGGTCCCTGGTGCGCCTGACTCCCCAGCCTGGTTCCTGGCTGTCTTTGGCCCAGTTTCCACAGCCATTACCCTCAGAGAATCCAGGAGGACTGCATGGACAGATGAACCTTTATTTTAAAAAAATAGCACTTCAAATAAATTAAAAGGGACAACCGTGTCAAGTGTTCAAATTGTGAAGAAATAGTTGCAACCCTAGTGACTCCAAGCTGCAGCCTTCTAACCTCACGCTTTGTCCACGGGCAAAGCCACTGAGCACCCCCCTCGACCTGCCCCAGAGCACACAGAGCAGACAAGGAGGAAGACGCTGCATGTGAATGGAACGAACATCACCACGTCCTTGCTAACATGGGCTTCACTTTATGACCAAATGCACGCTTTCAAAATTAAAAGGGGGGAGGGGCGGAGCTGCGTGTTTTTAAAAATTGAAATTATTTAGGGATCAAACACTAACTCTAGTCCCTTTAAAGGGTAATAATAACATTTTTCCTCTGAAGTCAAACACCCCCCCACCCAGCTGAGCCTTTGTGCTGCAAGCTTTTCAGGAGATGTTACCTAAACTTTATTAAAGAAAAGAACAGGTTTAAATATAGACACTGGACTAGCCCAGTCTGTATTTTCAAGTCCACATTCTTCATCTGAAGCACTGCATCAGGGACACCCCCTGAGTCTGCATGGTTTCAAGTTCACAGTACATGGAACCAGTTTTTCTTTTACATTTTTCCTCAACTCAGCACAGCCACACACAGTGGCTGTTTGATGGGGCTCCGGGCAGGCCTTTTCCTAGGAGGCCTGGCCAGAGCTGCCGCAGGTTTCTTCTCAGTGAGAAATCGATGCTGTCATGCTCTATGGATGGGAAAAAGCAAGAAAATAAAAGCACCTGGTACAGGTTTCATGAGATCCATTTGGATTCGCTATGTTCCAAACCCGCTGCTGAATGCCATTTGTCCCTTTGTGCTGAACAGTTTGTGGCCCACGGGTTGGTCTCAATTTGAAGAACTGTTATTGGACGCCCCAGAAGTCGATGCAATAGCAGCTCCAGCAGGGCTACTGGTGGAGACCGATTTTCGGATGTGAGGCAGCAAGTAGGGGTCACAGGCCAGCTGCTGGACGTCGATGCGGTCTTCCTTTCGGTAGGCCAAGCACCGTCGAATAAACGCCTGCGAAGGAACGAAAGGCTCCTGAAGCGGCCGGAGCAGATAGCCCTGCCCTCTGATAAGGGCAGCCCGAGGCCTGTCTAGGAAAGCAGCAGGGCAGGAGAGGGCCGTGCCCAGCACCTCTGCCCCCGCAGCACTAAGACCGACCAAGAAACCTCTCACTGCCTTGGCTGGTTTGGAAGGGAGCGCCCCGCCTGCCCTCATGTCTAAGCCCCTGCCTCACGGAAGCTTCTCTGAGGAAGAGCATCATTCTAACGACAAACCCTTGTTTTCACAAATACTACAATGTTAATGTAGTATATATATTTTCCCCAACTAACACACATGCTGTACAATTTACCCCCTAAACCATGCAACCCCCTTGGTACACTATTTCCCACGTATGTTTTATGTGTGGGCATGTTATATATAGAAAAATATGCTCTTCTTCCCTAGAAGGCCATGAAGCAAACGATGGCACATCTAGGTGTGAAGGAACCGCACGGAGGACCAAACGTCCTCTGCGGG